TTACAAACTAAAATAATATAAAATGTTTAAAATGTTGATTAATTAAAATAATTTCGGAGTATTAATATCAATAATGCTGTTACTTAATGTATAAACTGAAAATTAAAAAATAATAAAAAATAATAGTTTTTAAAAAAAATTCTATATTTTTTTATTTTTTCTTAGTTAGGAATTTCCAATTTTTTGTAAATATAAAATTAGATCCTTGTGGATTTTATAAATTATAATCATTCGCAATCGTGTTACGGGAAAAGGTCTGTTCGCAATCTTTTCATTCGCAATCGTATATCACCCGGTAATAATACATTTAAAAAATGTAATTATAATAATATTGTTATAAAATACTATCATTACTGTCTGAGAATAAATTAGGTATAATGTTATTGTTGTAAATATTTTTCAAAACATTGTAACACCAAATATTTTTGACTTTTATGTTAAATATGTCATATTATTTATGTTTTATATTTTACGAGTCAAATTTAATTTAAGTTTAATAACAAAAAGCACCGTTTTAATAAATCGATAGTGAGCATATTTTAATATAATAATAATGAGAATTTCAAAAACATAAAATAATAGTAACGAAATAACCAATAAATATTGAAAAATTAATTTAAATTTATAATGGTATACCTATTGTATTAAAAATTACGAATACGACTCGATAGGATACAAACACAAAATTATTTTTCGAAAATAAATCGGATGACCTCGACCTATAGAAATATAATATTATACACGCGTTGTTTATATACACCTACTTGTTTTCGAGTATTTTTATCGTGACGATTTGATGTGTGACAATGACAGATTAACAGTAAAAAATAATATAACCACGTAATCTCGGAACATGTTAAAACCCATCAATTTTCCAGAAATCGTTACAACATAATATATACGACTTCAATAAACACTTTGTACGACAAAATTTGTAACGTTAAATGTGTTGGTTTATTGTCAATACAAATTACATTTTCGGATTAATATATATATATTTGAAACAACTTGTAGGGTACTTATATCGTTTAAGTGCTAGAGGTTTCCTCCATTCGTCTAATTCAGTGTTCAAAACGCATAACATTAATCATGTTTTTAATGTACAAAACTGTAAAAGGATGATGCAATTATTTTTATTTACGCTTAAAACCACTTAATAATCACCCCCATTAAATCGGTACATCAACTATTCAGGATAGCTACTATCGATAATTCCAGCAATCATATATATTTAGTAATTTTATTTCAATAATTTTGTTGCGCAATTTAAACTTTATGAAATTGTTGACTGCCAACTTGCTGCTATCGAATGAAAACGAGAATGACATAACCAGCGATCTAGTTATAGATTATTATCGAGAAAATTGGTCAGTCCATCAGTATGTATTTTATGTGTTATATTTTTTTTTTTTTATACATAATGTAGGTACCTACGTTTTAATTGAGTATAATATTTTTAGAGATGAAACCATATCCATCACAGTTTATCTAAGTAATGTTTAATGTAACGATAATATTGAAACAAATCTGTTATTAATTCGCCAATATAGTAATCAGTCATAACACATAAATATTTAATTAAAAATTAGTCAAGCTGGAAATATTTACGTACAAAGGTAAAAAAAAAATAAGCCATAAATACAATTAGCCTGTTTCAAATTTAATGGGCACCTAAAAGGCACACTCCGTAAATACACTGATAATATACATTTAAAACATATAATGATAATAATTTTATTGAAAATGGATGCCTACATTTATTACATACATATGAATATAATACTAAAATTTGTTTTCGTCGTCCCTGAACCAAAAATACATTATGATTTGTTTTTTCAACTAAAATATAGGTAATTTAATTAACCATTTAAGTTTAATTATTTTCTGTTGAGAGGTATTTTTTATATTTCAGTTCTTCAAAGCAGATATCAAAAATTTTTGGGTTGATTATTTATGAAAAATAAAATGTACATTTTAGAAATGTTAATATACATTTTTTTACAAACTCGTTAAAGAGTGACTGTCAAAACCGTTTTAGCAGATTCTCTCGAAATGTAAAAGAAGTCTAGAAATGATTTATTTTCAATTTTACACTTATGCTACCTAAATATAAATGTTTTGGTTAGATTTTTCAACTTTTACAGCTCTTTTGGTTTTTTTTTTTTTTTTGATTAAAAATAATTATTGTGTAAAGAATACGTTTTTATTAAAGTTAACTATAAAAAAACCACATTTTCAGAGCGACATAAGTACATTTTCTACATTGTTAAAAAAATGTGTAATTATAACTTAATAGATTTGAAAGTTTTTAATTGTACGAACGTGACGTTACGCTGTGACACAATTAGTTTTTGACGTTTTACATTGAAGTTAAGCTCGACAAACATTAAGTTTCTGCAAAATTCTATTTCTGAAATAAAATGGTAGTTCTTTTAAAAATATGACGTGCTTTTTCCTCTCTCTCTTTTAATAAATACCTAACTATGGTAAATATGAATAAGTAATGTCTACATAATATACTATTATATGCACAAAGTAAATGAACAATTCACTTAGGTATTTTCACCTATTAGAAAAGTCTCGGCTTACAATTTTTATTAAATAAAACTATGTAGTATAAATATGAAGTGACATATATTAATGAAAATAATAATATCATACTTACTATAATATTATTATTATTATACTCTCAAAACATTTTTAAAAATGAAAAGTTTCAGTTATCATTATTAACACAGCGTTCATCATGTTTTCGTTTTCCATATATTTACTGTTCATAAAAATTTGGGTACCTTTTTTAACTCTCTATACACCTTTTTGGAATAATATTATAATTTCTTCATTGAATAAACTATATAGACTTTAAGAGAAAAAAGATTTACGTATTATCATAAAAAAAGGTTGAAAATAAAAATTTACCTGTATATCACGGCTCGTGGGGTAAATATTTTCCAAACGTGGTAGAATATCGTAGTATGTAAACAAGTAACAACTGATACGATGAAATTCAAATGTATATGTACTTAGTATTGTATATTTATGTGTATAATGTATATGTGTTCGACAAAAAATATCTATACATAAACTATTTTTAGGAAGATATAGAAAATATATTCATTTTTTATTTTTGTATTCATGAATAATGAATATAATATGTAACATCTAGGTCCTAGACTCCTAGACTCTAACACAGTGGATCTCAACCTTTTTATGTTCACGGAGCATTTCTTAAAATTATATAGTTTGACGGAACACTATAGTAATAAAATAATAAATATGGCAAACAAAAAAAAAAAAGGCATTTTTATTTTAATTATTATTATTTTTTATTAATATATTATTTAATTAAAAATTAATAATTAATAACACTATACGCATATACCACAGTCGTGGTACACATACAGCCAGTTCGAGGCACACTTGTGTGTTACGGAACACCATTTGAGAAACACTGCTCTAGCATTTATATTTACTCATGCATGATATCTTATAATATTAATTAATTATTATAATTAGAGCGCAGATTTCTATGCAATCGTATATTTTTTCCTTTTTCACTTTTTTGGATTTTTGTCAATTATTTTCACGAATCTAAAGGTAAATAATTTTTTTTTGGCACATTTCTACATATTTAGTGATTATTGCATATTTTTACAAAATTTGAAATTTATTGCATATTAAAGCGAAAAATTTTAAATAAATAAAACTTGGCCCAACCTATACTTAGTTAAAATGAGTACGTAAACTTTATAATTTCTATTTTTAAATTATAGTACCTAACTCTTTAATGAAATGAATATTTTACAAAAAGTTCTTCGTTCTTCTGCTTGGTTTATACAATATACGGATATGCACTGTTGCACTATAAATTAATCCCCATTAATATTATTTTATTCCTATTCATACTTTATTGTTTTTACCCAAGAATTGTATACATATTATGATGAGTTAATTATAAGTATATTTAAATCATAGACGTAAATATGGCCAAAAATCTGAGAAGAGGGGGCTATAAATATCACGTAACACGTATAACATATAGTTAATTATACTGACGAAATTAAGTTATGAAATATTTGGGAAGAAAAACCTTTAAACCCACCTCTCCAATTGAAGCTTATTATATAAATATTAAACAATTGAAATATTAAAATAAAAAAACTCTATTTACAAGTTTTTGAAAAAATGTTTAAAAAAATAATCCCAATCTTACAAAAAAAATTTGTTTTGATAAATACTAAAAATAAATATAAGCATAAAAAATTTTCTGTATTAGTCATTTTTTAACTTAATTTTTTCTTATAAATGTGTAAAAAAATAAAGATTTGGAACCTTTCTTCTCATTAGTGTTGCATTAATTGACTTACATTAAATACGCTTATAAAAAGATTTCACTATACACTTTATTGTTCTTATGTGCAACATGATACAAGTTTCATGAAAATCACAATAATATATGTATCGTCATATAAATATATTATATGACCACGTAGGGTGGTAAATCCATCGATCGAGGTTTGGCTCTATCTGGGTGTATTGTTAAGGTCACTGGGGACCGACGGGGCGAAGTACTACTCAATGTATATAAGCTGATAAAGTTATATACACCGCGTTGGACGAGTCTAAGGTTTATAACGAGGAATATAACTTGTGTAAAATAACGCTTTTCGAAACATTGATTTTTTTTTTCTTAAAAATACGTAGACGGACTATAAGTACCAAGCTTACGTATTTAATTACTTAAGCGAATAGAGTCTGTGTACGTCCACAGCCTGACGATTGGTAAATGAAATATGTTATTATAATTTTTATATAATTACATAACATATTGATGATTAGAAAGAGATTAATTTCCAACAGTAAAATTCTCACTAGATTTATTCCTGTGGACTTATCACCATGTATAATAGCATATTTTCAAAAACTTATCTTTAAAATTATATGCTGTTAAAATATGGCCAACACGTTCTAAAAATTACAATGCGTTAAACATTTTTCAGCACCAATGCCGGAAAGATTTAAGAAAATCCGTGGTGCCAAGCCCAAAGGTGTGGCAAATCGAAATCGAGGTCTAAAATGGATCAGACAGAACGCCGTCGAAGGTGTAGTGTATTTCGCCGACGATGATAACACTTATGACGTCAGATTGTTCAATGAGGTTAATATTTTTATTTATTTATTTATTTATTTACTTCACGTTGTCCATGTTTATGGTTTAATCAGTATTAGTATATTTTATAATAACCAATGTTATCTATTACATCTTTATTTTCGTCGCTCGACGGTTGTTTGTTGTTTAGTACGAAATGGTTTAGTTAGAAACATATCAATTTCAAAGGTATAAGGTACAACAATACTCGTCTATATATATTATATTTTAACCAAATTAATGACTCAACGTACAGTTTAATTATTTTAGCATGTACCTCAATGGTAATTAATTTATAGTAATAGTGTATATTTATTTATTTTTTAGCAATAGTATTTAAAATATAAATATCAATAAATCATTAAACTAATTGAGAGAAATAGTTCCTTAATCATTAAAATTATTTTTATTATGAGTGTATATTAATAGTATAATAATACTGACACACATTGAGATATTTTTATTTAATAAGTAAGGTACTCATAAGAACGAATAGCCCCATTTTTTTAGAATATCTCAAGTTCTTTATAATATTGCTTGAAAAAAACATGGGTCCCATTCTCTTCTACTATAATTACTGACATACAATTACAAATTATTATTCATATAAATTACATAATTTACACTCAATGATATTTTATATCTATTATATAAGAAAACAGAGTTTCTGACACATATCTGTGGTAAAATATAACATAGTTGGGTCACGTTATCCTTTTATCACATTTCCTTTGAAAAAAAAAACAACAATCCTTATCATCTGTGCTTATACTATAATATAAAATAAATTTAGTCTTTATTTTTATAAAAATAATAATTTTTGTTTATTAATAAAATTAAATAACCACGCCTCACATGCTATCTTAACGACAATTAAAAAATATAAGGTCAATTTTTTATTAGAATTTAAGTTGAGTTATAATATTTTTAGACTATAATTAGATACTTATGTTATTTTTTTTATTATTATTGGATAGTATAATGTTATATTTCTATCAGCATATTAGAAAATCGTATTGGTACCTAGAAAATCTTTACTCCTAAATTATTCCTATTAAAAATATATACAAGTTACAATAAGTACTATTATAAATTACGTTCTAAATTAATCGAGCGAGATGAATGTTTAAATCTGAGATGAATAAGAAATATGATCTAAATTTTGACTAAGAAATGCACGAGTGTCTGTAGAAAAAACATCTTATACTTATCCTAATGTGTATTAGCATTAATTCTTGCAAAGTCAATAATTTCAACCAATTTGTGATTTATTTCGAATCATAAATAAAAATTGAAAATTAAATTTAATATGTTAATATAATAATACATTAATACATTACCCCCAAAAATAAAATACACAACAAGGTAATGAAAATAAAATTTTTGAATTATATCGACAGTATCGCCACCGAAAAATAGATATGGAAAATTTTCTTAAAATAATAATTCATTGTTTGAAAAAAAAATCCGTTTTATACTTCATAATCGTATTTATAAATGCTTTTTATTTTTAATTTTGTATACAAACAATGCAATCAACAGTCAAATAAATATCTTTTCCAAATGTTTTCTTATTATTTATCCAATAATATTTCTTCAGATATATTTTCCAGTCAAATTTTTAACTATTTATTTTTCTTTAAATTCTCGTATAACCTATTCATTTTTTTTTTTTTTTTTTATGTACCCCAATTAAAATTTTAAGTAATTTTTTTCTAATTTTTATAAACACGTATTAAAGCAAATAATCAATTATTTTATTTTTATCAGCGTATTGTTTGTTACATTGATTTTAGTACATTTTTACTTCATAATAATGTATTATGTGCACACAGATGCGTAATACGCAAAAAGTATCCATGTGGCCAGTAGGATTATGCACAAAGACTGGTATAAGTACACCAATTGTGAAGAATGGAGAATTAATTGGGTTTTACGATGGCTGGATCGCAGGCAGAAAGTTTCCAGTCGATATGGCTGGGTTCGCAGTTAGCGTCAAATTCCTACTAGAAGTAAGTCAACATTTCAATCCTATATATGTAAACATTTTAAAGGAATAATGTATTAATGTTAATTTTCAAAATACTATATAGTCTTTATAAGTTATAGTATTCCAGGATAATTAGTTGTATTTTTTTGTGGAACATTTCCAAATAAAATAATTTTTACTCGTGTATTTTTTAACCTATCTTTTTATTACCTAAATTTAATTTTAAAAAAGTTCACTTATAAAAATTAACATAAGGGACACTAGATAAAACAATTTGTAATACTAACATACGTATAATTACAATGGAAACCAGACTAACATTTTCACTCAAATAAAAGTATAAAATAAATAAAGATAAAGAATGAAAGAAAATATGAAAAAGTCTGAAAAAGGTAACCTTCCAAAAGGTAAAAAAAGGTACATAGGAGATTTTCAGAAATAAAAACTTATTTCACTCTACGTTATACCAACGTCCTGCTTGTCATATTTTATTAAAACAAAATTAAAGCATAACAAAGAGTGTAAATGAAATAACTCTGCTTATTTCAATATTTTTATCTAAATTAATTTTTAAAAATATTTATTTTCATTTTCTATGGTCCTTTTTAACGATTACCATTTTAAATTTCAAAGTTGTTTTTAATGTGTGAAAATATGTTACCATTTATATAAGATTTTTAGAAATAAAATACTTTAAAACCCTGGGTTTATTTCGTTACCAGTAATCTCCTTAGATATTTTTGGTATTTTTATCTTGTGTTGTTTCTAAAAATTAAAGACAATAGAAAATGTATTTACTTATAAATTGGTAAGTAGTAAATAGTAATAAGTAAAATACTTCGAAAGCGCTTAGTACACATACCTTTGTTTCAGTTGGCTGTTCCTAGAAATATTTAATAAAGCTTAATGCATAATCTCTATTACTTAAAACAACTATTTTTCATCACAATTTCTTTAAATGTAAACTATCTTAATAAATTATAAAAATAAATAAAGACGTATCTACTATTTACCACATAGACCATAATATAATACTTGGAAGGTACCTTCGTAAAATGTTTTAGGTGACTTAATTAACTTATTATAATATATACGTTCCTTTTTTTAAAGCAATTATTTTACATTCATAATACACCGTTTCTAAATTATGTTCAGTTTCGTATATACGGCTTACATATTCTCGAACAAATGCGTAAAAAAATCATAATTATCGAATATTTATTGATCATTCATCATTAACTTTCCTTAATCATCACACCTGGTTTTACATAGGTATAAATAATAACCACTTTGAAAGTTGATAATTTTCGCTCACTTCTGTATTATTTTCTGATTTCTTAAAATGCATTGATTAAAATAAAAATATCTTACGCATTTCAACGTATACGTCACATACTCTAGTTTAAATATAAAATGACAGTATGACACTATATTTTTTTTTCTCATACCTAAATAACAAACTTAAAACCGTGTCCAATTTCACGTATTAATAAGTATCTATGCCATATTTATAATATCTATTTTACGCAAACCTAATATTTAAACTATATAATATGTATATTAATATAAAAGATACTACATTAAATTGAATGTCATATACTCGCATATGCCATATAACATATTAAGTACCTATAATACCTACTACTCGAGTGGGTTCTCAATAGTTTTTATTTAAAATAAACACTGTAACTTGTAATTAGTATTAGTTTAATACATACATATTATAATACACTAAGAGTATTTGAATAATTTTTATTTAATTGCCACTTAAAAAGCTTATAGTTTGTAAATTTTAGTACTTAAATTTAATTTAAAAACAAGTATAAAATATTTGAAATATGTAAGAATTCAAAAAAGTTATTTTATACTTTAGTTCGTGCCTTTAAATATTTTAGATAATATTTTCTCACTTTCTTAGCGCAATGTTATAATCCTTTGGTTGTTCGTGAACTTTTAGATCTTCCGAGAAAACCTTCTAATGTATTAGCTCTTCCCCGAATTACTCAACAAATTATTTATGACAGAACTCAAATATGAAAATAGATAAGATATTATATTCATAATTAATAAAAACGAATGAGGTAATTAGAAATATTTTGATTTTCTATACACTTGTAAATGTTCCATATTTGTATCTATATATTTTAATGTAAAAATAGAAATATTTGTCACGTATTTCCTTTAAAACTACTCATCTGATTATCTTGATTTTATTTTTAATGAAAGAGTACATCGTGGAGTAGGTTTTAAGTCTATTTCTAATTCTAAAAGTTAATTAAAAATCGAGTTATTATTTTTTTGAAATAATCAACAAATTTGCACATAAAGAGATTTTTTCATCTGTGTTACCAATTATTAGTATTTTAATAAATAATTAAAGTAGTATAACAGTACAAAACGTTTTCGTTATTTTTAGTTTCTGAAACTTTATGAGTTGTCGGTTTTTTGTCCAGAATGAAAAGAAAATCAAATTTAAGTCATTTAACAGAAAAAAAAAAGGATAAATAATTTTTAAAAAATTTTACTTTTAAATGATAAAAAAGAAGCAACGCTAGGAGGAACATAGCTATATAAAGTTGATATACCAGAAATATCATCTTTAGACGACATCAGAAAACTAAAAATATTACTATCCACGCGCGTTACGCTAAATGTTAGCATTAGGTAATCAATTTTAACATGGATAATGTATTTTAAATGAGCAATGAAGTGCACGAGGATAGTTAGTTGTATTATATGTTTTAACCTCAGAGCTATGAAAAACAAAACTCACTGTAATATCAGGGATCTATAAACCCGGATTCTTATTGGATCGATCTTTTTTTAATTAACTTATTTACAAATGATTTTAATTTTTTGTACTTGATAAGTTATTGGAATACAAATAGTCATAAAAATGCATATCCTTTAAATTAAAATTTTATAACATTTGAATTGATCCTCAGCACTTCTTCTATGAGTTCTATCCGTTCCGGTTGTTGGATATCATATTGACTATGCTATTCAACACTAATATAAACATTAAGCATATTTTACATAATTTAAACAGTAGGTAACTTTTAAAGTGTATCATTATAAGTTATAATATTGTTGCATCCCGATGACAACGTCGATTCATACACCAATGCAGAAATTAAAATACTTGGTACATTAAATATAAATTAAACATTAATTTAATTTAAACTTACATATAAAAATACACTATTGCAAGTACAATATGTTGGTGAGCGGTGTTACGACCTACCTCAGAAATACTGATAAACAAGACAGTAAGTAGTGTTGCGACCAGCCTCTGAGCATCTTGGATATCCCTAACCGTCTGCCAATCCCTTGGCCAGGTCTCCCTTATAAATGGTTGATTGACAACGAATCGATTGGGGTGGTGACGACTTCCGATGACACGAGGACTCTCGCATTTAATTATTATTCTTGTCGACTTTGCACTCTCAGAGTTTCGACTTTTCTAAGAAGTGAGCGACGTGTGATCTTACCTAAATTGTTAAATTAAAAATTATTTAATTCGTTGAATTCAACGTACACACCGTTCGTCCTAACTTAGTATTAGTCATATTGTCTTGTCTTATTAAATAATTGGGACATGTGCCACCACACCGTATAATATATATATTTTAAAATATACTAAATATTACATGGTCCGTAACAATATTATTACAATATTATATTTATTGTCTATAGATCAGAGCCCAACTTAGGGGGGGGCTAGGGGGGCTGCAGCCCCGGGCCCCGATATTATTTGGGGCCCCGGGCTCCTGTTAATATTTAATTATTAAAGTGGCATTTTGAAATAATTGTATGATATTACTGGTTAGTGGTTACGTAGTTTCGTTAGTCGCGTATCGTAATGGAATTTATGATTATTCTCTAATCGATAAAATAAGCTATTAAGTTTTAAGATAAAGTTGGTCAAAAGCACTTTATATTGTTATGATTACAATTTATCTTAACATAGGTACATTTTGATGGTCAGTTTCGCATTATTAGTACAATCGGTACACGGTACACTAGTAGGTATTCAGTCGACTGTCGTGATATTAAATTATTAAATTAGTTTTTAGTCGAGTTCGTGAGTTTAGTTTGTTACTAGTGTGTGCCAAAAACTATTGCAATTTAAAAATGTCTGATAAAAAAAGGATTTATCTCAGTGGTTATGCAAAACGAAAATTAAAGAAGGAGGCCGAAGATGCAGTAAGCAAGTTACCTAAATTAACTAATTTTTTTGAAACTATCAACAGTGCAAATAGAGTAGAAACTAATAAAAATAATAAAAATGATTTGGTTCTAAATAATAGTTATATTCATGTTGAAAACATGAATAATGATAGTAATAGTGTAATGCCTAATACAATAGTGACTTCAAAATCTGATAGTTTAAATTTTTCTGAAAATAATATTAACAGTTGTTCTACAATAGAAAACTCAAAATCTGATACTAATAATTTTTCTGAAAATAATGTTGACAATGATTCTACAGCAGAAAATGCAGTGATTGCAATGAATTTTAATTCGAATATTCATACTATTGAACTTGATATTGAATTATATCAAGATCCGGGAATGTGGCCATTAGTGTTAAACAACAATTTTATAGAATTATGCTGCTTAAAAGGACCAGAATTTTTTCAGAATATGGATCCCAAAAAATTTCAATCATCCGAAAAAGAATTTAAAAATTTTAATCGCTCATTAAATATATCATTATTCGAATTAAAATTACCCAATGGTGAAATACACTTACGTAAATGGCTCATGTTTTCTGAACACACTGGCAACGTTTATTGTTTTGTTTGTAAACTATTTAATAAGTCAAATAATTCAAGTTTTATTAATCCTGGTTTTAACAACTGGAAGAAATCTCACGAAAAAGTTAAAGAACACGAAAATAGTGCAATTCATCGTAAATCAATGTTAATTTGGTTAGATCGTGTAAACACTAAAAATCGTATAGACAAAACTATGGCGGAACAAATTTTGAGTGAAAAAAAGTATTGGGTTGAAGTGTTGCGCCGTGTAGTAGCTGTTGTTAAATTTTTGGCTGTTCGTGGGTTAGCATTTGAGGGTAATGACTCGCGGTTGGGTTCTGCGAGTAATGGAAATTTTCTCGGAATTCTCGAAGTCATTTCCGAATTTGATCCCTTTTTAAAACAACACATAAATGAACGCGCTAATAAAGGATCAGGGAATATATCTTATATTTCGATGCGAATTTGTAACGAAATAATTGACCTAATGGGAAATGAAGTTTTATTAGAAATTATTAAGCAGTTACAAGAAACTAAATATTTCGGTCTAATATTAGATTCTACTCCAGATAGAGCACATAAAGATCAATTTGCTGTTGTTGTTAGATATTGTTATAAAGGGTTAGTTGTTGAGCGATTTTTAACATACATACATATATTAAGTCATACTGGAATTTCGATGGCCGAAGAAGTAATACATTTTTTTGGAAAATAATAATATTAATTTGCAACATTGTAGAGGTCAATCGTACGACAATGCTAATAATATGACTGGTATATATGAGGGTTTACAGGCTCAAATAAAAAAAAAATGCAGTGTTGCTTTATTTGCACCTTGTTTTGCTCATTCCCTAAATTTAGTAGGGACACATACAGTGAAATGCTGTTTAGAAGCAATAAATTTTTTTGGTGTTGTTCAAAAACTATATGCATTTTTTTTTGGCCTCAACACATCGATGGAATTTGCTTTTGACTGGTTTACAATCGGAAGAAAAAAATAAAATAATTGTTTTGAAAACTTTAAGTAATACTAGGTGGGAGTGTCACGCGGAGTCGTGTAAAGCTATTATCTTAAATTATGACCAAATTATATGTAGGTACATTAACGGATATTTTTGAAAATGTTAACGAAAAACAAGAAAATCGTCATGCTGCTAAATCAATAAAAAATAAAATGATAAAGTTTAAAACAGCTTTTATGGCAGTTATGTGGAATGAAATTTTATCGCAATTTAACAGTGTTAGTAAATACCTTCAAAAACCGGGAATAGATTTATTTACAGCTGTAAATTTATTAAAAGGATTAAAAACTTATGTTAGTTCATTAAGAGAGAAGTTTATATATTTTGAAAACAAAGCAAAGGAATTATCAACTAATATTTTGCCCTGTGGAGAAAAAATTGTTAGGAAAAAAAAATTCTCGGATGGTACAACAGAAGGAAATTCAAACTTATGCGAAATAAGGAAGTTTGAGGTTGATACTTTTTATGTTATTATTGATTGTTTAGTTACTGAACTTGATAAAAGATTAAACGCATATGATAATCTTTGTAGTATTTTTGGGTTTATTACAAAATTCGGTTCACAATTATTATCAGAGACTTCTGCCGACATATTCATTAGCACATTTAAAGATGATATTGATACAATAAATATAAGACAAGAGATTGTGCACTTTTCTAGTTATGTAATGCAGTTAAATTTACCAATAATTTCTCCTCAAAATATTTACTTATATGTACATGAAAATAATTTAAAAGAAGTATTTCCAAATGTGTACATTTCTCTGCGACTTTATTTAACTTTGCCAGTTTCTAATTGTGAAGCAGAAAGAACAAATTCAAAATTAGAACTAATTGAAAATGCCAGAAGAACGTCCCTTCATCAAGAAAAATTAAATTCACTCGTTCGTCTGTCTTCTGAAAGGGATATAACTAATACACTTGATTTTTCAAATCTAATTCAGAAATTTGGTGAATTAAAATCTAGAAAAAAACCATTGTCTTAAATTATTTAACAAATTATTTCTTTAATTATTATTTATTTTTTATTTTAATTTTTTTATTATTTACATTGACTATGTTGAAAAATGCATTGCCACTTTGACTTTGTATACAATGTATATGATGTATATAAGTAAACATTTGTTTGAATTAAAAACTGTACTAAAACTTCTTTATTTTTATATTTATATTTTTAATTGCATCGTTTTATTTATATTAATTGCCATTAAATAATTTTTTGTAGCTTTATTATGGTATAATTGATTTTTAATCCTATATAAAATAAATTGAATATAACAAATCTATATATAACATAAAGACTGCATTTATAATTTAAGTTGATAATAATAATAATGATAATAATTAATTTTGGGGCCCCATTAGAAAATTTGACCCGGGCCCCAAAATTCCTAAGTTGGGCTCTGCTATAGATAGATTGTAATACTTATACTTAACGTATTTTGTTTTTTTAGAGGCCCGATGCTCAAATGCCTTACAAGCCAGGATTCGAAGAAGATGGGTTTTTAAGGACCTTAGCTCCTTTTGAACCTCATCAAATTGAATTAAAAGCAGATAATTGCACAAAAGTAAGTGATATGCATTAATTAATTATTAAATGGTTATTTTTTTCAATACTTTTATCACAAATCAATGGCTTCAATAAGCCAATGCATGAAAACTAATTTAGAAACATATTAAAACGGCGTATTTTAATAAATTAAATCGTTTGAACTCACATTTACGTAATGATAATAATTTCAATGTTCAACAATACAATAATTTTTGATAACATTTAATCATTTAAGAACTATTTTAGATACCTATTGATTTAAACAAATAAACATATTTTCTAGGATAGTGGTTTGAAAAACATTTTAAACTATTGCGTATGCAATATAATATATATCTATTTTTATGACATTTATATTCAAATAAAAGTTATAGTTTGTGTTCTACAACGTTTAAACATAAAAATGTCATAATATTTTTCACAAAACAATTCGTATTATATACACAAATTAAATAGTAATTATCCAGTACACAAAATAAATGGTTAAATCATGGTTCAAAGTTCAAACCTTTACTTAACCACGACCACTATATTATTTTGTTGTTGTCACAAAAGATTATATTTATATAATACCTACACATACAACACATACCTAGTTTATAGCTTTACTTAAGAGAACAATACACCCACATATAATTTCTGTGTTTCATAAACACATAACCTTTCAAATCATATACATTCAGTAGATTCGGTCTGGTGTTTTCAACTAAAATATTATAATTAATTTACCTATTAATAAACTTAAATATAAGAACATTATTTGTTATGATTCTTACTATACTTTAATTTTCAATCAAATAATGAGTATGTAAAATATTAAAATTTAAAAATATTCATGACACTAAAAAATTTAAACATTATAAAAAGCCAATGAGAGATCGCATAAATATTGTTCTTTCCTTTAAACCTTTAACTTTGATAATTTACTTAAATATTAAAGCTAAGTGCTGATAACACAAAACTTAAACGACTGAACGTATATTTTCTATGTCACCCATGTGTAACTTGTAAAATAGCTAGACAACTTATATAAATGCGATATCCTCTTAAGGTTTAATTTGCGCTAAAACAATCTCCACTGCGAAGCAGCAAAGTTTTAATTTTTTTACGTAAGCCATGTGAACTTAGACATAATATTTTACATAGGTTTTTTTTCATAACAAAGTGATAGATACTTCCGATTAACCTTTCGTAAGCTTAAAGATAAATTATCTAGAACTTTTCTCGTTAAGTTTGTTGCAGTATTTTTGGCAATGGGAATTTAGTGGTTTTTATTTTTTTTATCTTCAACTCACCAAGAACCGTGTACCAAAATACAGATTACAAATTAACCTAACCGAAGCCATTTCATAGTAGATTCAGTATAGGGGTATATGTAGATTGTAGATATATGTAGATATATTATACATTTATAAATAAATTGCGCTATATTAATCATATGCATTATACATATTATGTCAGTTCGCAAATAGTTTTAAATAAACGAAAAATTTATCATCTATACACAATGAGTGTTTGATTTATGGGTATATAGATCATTACCAAATAAAAGAGAATATATTGGTTATCTAAACTACTAATATTACGATCGAATATAATATTCGTAATAGATCCAAACCTTGATATTGTATATTTTGTAAATACTACGCTAGTTCGAATAGTCTAAAAATAAATGTTTTATGCTTTATCTATTCTGCAGTGTATAATTTATAGTTGACAGTTTTTGTACAAAAAATTATTGAGTTAATTTTGACAAAATCATAAAATGGGAGACATATTTTTAAATCATACTTATGGATTTTTATCAACACTTTTATTTGACGTGTTTCATTTTTTATTTAAAGATATTAGTGTGGCACACTCAAACGAAGAAGAATGAACCATCGCTGAAAGTGGACAAGAAAAAATATAATAACACAAATATACTCCACTTAAAGGACATCATAGTCTGACACACTAAAGCCATCGCAGTCAAAGGATTTTCGTTAGAAACCGTTTTTTTTTTTTTATATTGTATATACCTATGCTATGTCGTGTCACGTACAATTTGTTTTTGCCGTGATCTTGGGTTTTTCTCAATATCACGGTTTTTGATTAGTATAACTTTTCCGGACATAATGATTTCGTCTTTCCTTATTATCTTTTTACTGTTTGCGCCTCAATTTCTGTAGATACATTTCGTAATTAAAAGTACCTATTGTTTATAAGTTATATGTACATTATTATTATTATTATTATTATTATTATTATTATTATTATTATTACTATTATTACTTTATAAAATGTTATTTTTTTATTTTGTTAATCGATATGTTTTCTCAAAATACTAGTCAGCCATGTTCCCTATCATAGCTGGAAGGGTAGGAGTGAAGGACACCCGGTCTTATGTTTATTAATCAGAGGTACTTTTATTATTATCATTATTGTTATTATTATTTTTTAGTTTTCATTAAAGCTGATTTACCAAACTCGCACACTATTTGGAATGTCAAAAAAATAAGAGAAGTATGACATTCGGCTGATTGTTATTTTTCTAAGCCCATATATTCCATCAAACCCGAAAGAAAAATAAACTTTATTTAATGTAACTATTAATATTGAATTTGGTATTTTTAGTTGCATAAGTATTTTTGTAAAGCAAGAATAAATATTATTATTAGGTCATGGTAATCAATCGATTTGATTTAATCTTAATGACCAAACGGCAAAAACACGTAGGTAACCGATATTGTAACTTCTGTAAATTATTGTGATATACCTACGTAGTATTGTGATGAATTTTTGACTACGTGCCGCATAGACGAATGCCAAACGTGTGGTAAACCGAGATAAAACATTTGTGTGAATTGATAATGACAGGGCACGGATTAAAAGAGATCTGGAAGTTGCAATTCACGTATAAACATAGTATATTACTTACTATTTTCCTCGTATATTATTTATTTTAAAGTACCATCACATGTTATTAAATTTATCTTTATTTTTTTAGGTATAAAACGTGTTTATTATTAATTTGCATGAAAAAATTAGTGTTCTCAGAAAATTTTTTTGAGTATTTGTTTGTGTTCAGAGAAAGTCTTATATATATTATGATTTTAATATTTGATCCATGGTATATCATGTATGACAGAAATTTTTAATGATTCATTTATAAAGTTTATAATAACATAATCACATTTGATAAATCTATAAATATTAGTTAATATTTCCGTTCACGAAATAAAGCTAATAATACAATTTTATAATAGTTGCTCAAATACATTGGACACTCAACAAAATACTAAAGCCCCCAATACTGTATATTATGACCGCCGCCAAGACTTACTCGTAGATACTTACGTGATTCTATACAATTGTGAACGTAATCGTGTTCCGAGTAAAATATTAAAATACGTAATAATAATGACCATTATTGACGATTATAGTGTTTTTTCAGCTCCATTAAAAACACCATCATAAGTCACAACTACCAAGAACTTTTGTCTAACACCGATCATAACACATTAGTTTACCGTTTAAAAGGTATTAACTGCCAACTACAAAACGTGTATTATTTACTAATTTTTTTTTTTCTTAAAAAATTGATGAATACATTTTTTTATTCTTTTTTGTCAACACATTACTTTTATTGCAACAATATACAACCAAATAAGTTAAACGACCAAAAAAAAAATCGATATTGCAGACTGTTAGTATTATACATGTCTCACAACAATACATAATTATTATTTTTACGATTGTGTTTTGAAAAGTCCTTTAACTGTTTTACCGACGTTAACTTAAAATACTATACCTAAACATACTTATACATACACGTTGCGTAAAAATCAAATTTCTGTTAACGTATCAGTATACTGTTGCCTATAATATTGTTTTATGTATAACTTGAAAATTTAAAATATTTCATTAATTTTAAAAGGAGGGGAAAGATTATGGATAAAGGAAATTTATCGAATGAGGGTTGAAAAAATTACGTCAACGCGATCGAGCCAGAGGCTAAGATTAACATAATCATCGAAAGGCCAACGCTTGTGATGTACCTACTTATTACTAATCAACTTAGCCCCAAATAGTCGAAATATTATAAAAACTTACATAAAACATAAAAACGGAATACAGTTCCAGAAACATCTAACAAATGACAATCGCGTTAAATTAACTTTTGTTTTAAAACACAACTGTACGTATTTTTTTTACGATTTCGTTAAGAATTACAAAAACGATATAAATATATTATTTTCATTTGCTAAGATTGTAAAACCAAGTTCGCAAAATTTTCGACTCTAAACGAGTTATCAAGCATTCGCCGTTATAAATACATGCGCCTGGACTGAGATTGTTGTATTTTAAACTATGCGTATCAGATAAATAACAAATAAAAAAACGTTTAAAAAAATACTTAAAAATCGTGATCTACCAGTGCCTTTCGTTGCCTAATATGCTCGCGGCAGGGCTGTTATAAAAGGCTACTAATGGAATAAGAAAGCCGCTCGCACTATTTAACTGCCAACCTTTCATACTCGGTAAAAAAACTGCAGTACGCCTACCTAGCTAGCTTAAAAACGTAAGCATAACAGATCATGTACAGATTAAAACGATGTACGATTGGATTTTGTATATAATGTTTTATAGACAGTAAATAAAATTGGCCTAAATATCTCTGCATAATATAATACTACGTATTATTTTTTATACTACACGATTCCTAATTATTTAGTGATTATTGGACCTAATTATTACTTATTAATTATTAGTTAAGAAATTAAACAAAACATTTGTAATCTATTAACATTTGTAATAATTTATACAATACGCAACAATAATATTATTCCGAGAATTGTGGTAGAAAATATTTATCAAGTTTCCAGTACGTAATTATAGATACCTACTTTAAATACTTACGAGTAAAAAAATACTTAGTCGTTAAAAAAAATTGTATTAACTTTAAAAAAATTAGTTGCAATTTGAATATATGGTTATTACTGCACATGATAGTTGAAAATATTAATTTTGTTCTTTTTACGTGAATATGTGACTATAACAAATAATATGATTACTATTTTTAAATATTAGTCGGCTTATCTACTTATGTTGCATCTAATTTGTATTAAAATAGTTCACATTAATTACAACAGTAATCAAAACATTTATTTTGAAAAATATAATATTCAATGCAATATCAACTATTATAGGTAGCTAATTTTTTAAATTATCTCGGTCGATCAAAATATATTTATTGGCATAATAATATAATATTATCCCATATGAAACCTATCTATCTACCTATATAGTAAATTATATTTAGAGTAACTATTAACACTTGTAGAATTATTCATATTTCCGTGCTTCAAAGCTCTAATTTTCATTAAATCATATTTATTTATATGTGCATTTATTTATTTATTATTTTTAATTTTGATGTTAAATTTTTAAATTATCATTTTCAAACATATCCAAAATTTTTTGAGCATATCATCAAATTTTAACACTTATATGTAACAACTTAGGTGTGTATTTTATTTTATTTTATTATTATTACTAGTTGTATAATATTTTTTCCCTAAACATTGTTGTTTTAGTTAATTGTTTATTTTAAGTAATTTGTTAAAAATATTTTACATTGTACAATTCAAAATACAACATTATTTTGATACTAAATATATTTAACTGACTCAATGAAATTTAGAAAAAATAATATAATATTATGTATAGTTACTATTGTAATAATAATATGTAGACAATATCATTTTTTCATTCATTTCACTATAGTTTTCAAAAATTAAGTATGCAAGATTAATGTGATATTGGCACTTTTAAATAATATCTTTTGTTGTATTTTCAATTAATTCTTGACATATTAATACATCGTTTATAAAGCACAAATTATAAGCAAACAGGGTGCCATAAAATAAACTTGATAAAAGTTTTGCATGTGATAATCTTAGATGTTGTCAATCACCTTCATCACACAACATATTTTTTCACACCTTTTTATTATTATATTATACCAAAATAATTCAACTTATATTACTTATTATTTTAAAAATGAATACGATTCCATTATTAATTTTCATTTACAACAATAAACCAAATTAAAATAAATAGTTTCTCTTGGCAAGGATTGATTTATTAATGCCTATATGGTAGATACTATTTTATTTTTAATATAATTATTTATCCACCATCATAGAAATAATTGAAAACATCGATTTAATAATTAGATTAACAATATTAAGTGTATTTTAAGTTTAAGTATTTAATTTTAAAACTCATCAATAAAAAACATACTTTAAGCTATTTATATTTATTGAATTATATCATGTACCTATTACAGCTACACTTATTTATATTTAGAATTATTATTATCGACACTGAAAACTGTATTATAACTTATGTACCTAACAATAACGATAATAAATCAATTATACATTTTATATCTATAACTAGGTATTAAAAAATTATAGGTATTATACCTAATACACTTTCATATGAAAATATTTAGATTTTTAAATTGACTTGCTTTATTTAGCGTTTATCAAAAATCAAATACAATGCATTTAAATTAAATTTATTATCGTTATTATTATTAAAAATCAAAATTATATTCTTTATATTCTACCTACACATCACACTAAAATTTGTAATCTTCATCCTCCGCGTAATAATGTGTAACTTAACAAAAATATGTACCTACATCATATATCTGTTCAGCTAGGTTAAAATTGTAAAAAGATTTAAGAGCAAAAATTAAATTAAACAACGTTTTTAAGACTTAAGCCTTTTCACTTAATTTTATACATATGTTTAAGTTATTGTTTGAGATACCTATTAAAAAAAACAAATGTCAAATAAATTGCTTTATTAAATAGAATAAGAAAATAAACAATTAAACTCTCGTGGAAATATTCTTTTCTTTCGTTATATCTATGCATAATATTTTTCTGTATTTGAACACTAAGATAATTTTACGAATTTATTTAAACATTTAACATAAACTTATTTTAACGTAATTTTAAAGTACGAGTAATAAAAATGGAAAATCATTGATCGTCGTTTTTTTAAATAAATTCCAATCTGTATGTATGTAGAATTGGTTATTCATTCAAAGAAAAAAAGCACTGAACTATAATCTTATTTGCTTAAACTTATCTTTTGGCAATATTAATAATTGAGCTTGATATTTATTGTTTAATATATGATTAAGATCAGTAATTAAAATAAATCATTTAATCCACG